ATTTTATTAATCGACTTCTTCGGTCTTTTCACCGTATAATATTACCTGAACCTGCGCCTTCGACAGGGCATTCAATATCTCCGTTTCTGGACGATCGATTCGCAGTGCGACTTTGTACTTTTCCTGTCGAGCGCTTGCAGCATGTCTTGTTGCTGACTAGCGTTTTTCGTAGACAGCATCACGTTATAAGGGAACCTTGCGTGGCTAAGTTGTTCACTCTTAATGTCAGTCCTACCGTTCGAGTTAATCCTCCGCAGAACCATTTCCAAACAAACGGTGAAAAGCTTCAGCGGGGGGGGGTGTGATGATATTTTCTCCTAGCTTGAGATGCGTTCTTTCCCAGTTAAACCCAGCCATCGGCCCTTCATGGCTTGGCGGTTATCGGACGTCATGCCAGTACCATCTTCGCCCTGTTTATCAAACGCCACGTAACAAGTTGGGGAAGGGAACTGAGGCAGATTGCAGAGTCGAGGATCAAAACGTGCTTCATGCCTTCCGGCGGCTCAGGATGTTGCATCACCTCGGCGGCTGCTAAAGTCGACGACAAAGGGATGAAGATACCACTCAGCGATGGAGCAGCCACGTGTTATGAACGGAGGAAACAGGCAGCGCGATGCCATTATAGCAAGTCAGATAGTTGCGCGGGAACGAAAATTACGGTTGGAGCTCAATATCGGAAACTGCAATACTTCATTCCTCATAGGTAAAGGGCAGGAGCCAGTTGATAAGCTCGCAGCGTACCAACTCACTATAGTTGGACTCTCGTCAACGAAGCGGCAGGGCTCCGGGATTTTGAACCTCTGCCTTTGGAAGCTGTTCTACTCAGATGTGGATTCCACGACCCGCGTTCACTCCGGTGTTCCTGTTCTGATAGAAACTAATCCGGCTCACAAAATTGAATTGAAGCCTCCAAGCGGAAGAGTGGCAATCCTCCGACTGATGTTTAACAGACTTAGGATCTGACCCTGTTACAGATCTATGTGCCAAATTTGAAGTGAGAATATGAATCATCCCTTGAAAAAGCGGAATGCGCTCTGTACGCAGAACCGACTACGGAGTCCCTTATTCTAATGGGCGGTTTTAATGCGCATGTTGGAGCAGACACAATAAGTGGCAAATTGTCATTGGAAAGAACGGCCTTAGTGGCCTCAAAAATAGCGGCATCAAGTTGTTGCGGTTTTGTGCAAACAACTGACTGTACATTATGAATACCTTCTTCTAGCATCGAAGCATGTCTCAGCACACCTGACACTGGGAAGTTTGTGTACAGAAGTCGATGATCGATTTAATATTCGTGTCGTCTGACTTAAGACGTTCAGTAATGGATGTTCGCGTTAAGAGAGGCGCAGAACTGTCGGCACGTTCGTTATAAATGATGGAGCACCATACAAAGACCTGACGACAAAATCAACCAGTGAACTTAATGAGAGATTTTTCTGAGCATACGAAGGCAAAATTTGAAAGCAGCATCCGTTTGAACAGATCTCCGTGATGACGAATGAAGAGGAAACCGAGCGGTATCTCGTTAACAGCGACCTACTCTGGGCTGCAGCCGAATGCTGCGGTTTAAGCGCGTTGGTCTGTCACCATTGAGTCAGAAGCGAACTTCCTGGTAGACGTGATAAGTTCAGTTGGCCGTCAGGGAGATGAAGGCTTCATTTAAGCCTGCTTGGAAGTAAAGAGGTTGCAATTTGAATGGTGCAGAAAAATGTGCGAAGGACGACAGAGAAAGCAGCAGCCAAAGAGAAAAGTAATTCCTGGAAAAAGTTCGCTGATTTGCCAAAATCGAATTTCCAGACGACAAATAACACATTGTGGCAGACCATCCGCTACGTCTGAGATGGAAAGTGGGGAGTCTTAGTCCTGAAGGACAAGTCCAGAAGCCCTGTTATCAAGAAAAAAGACATGCTTTGGCGATCGAGAGAGTACTTTGAGGAAGAAGATCCCGAGGACGGCCGTGAATGACCTGGGGCAAGTGTCTCGACAGACTATGCTTTAGACTTCTGCTATCTTCTGCCTAAAATCAAACGCTTGTACAAGAGCGTAAACGTTAGAAACATTGCCTGGCACGTCTGACTTCGTGGCTATATATGATAAACTTTGGTTGAAATTGACTAATCGACTAACAAACAAAGGAGAGCGATTATGAGTCGTCATCCATAGTGTTTCAGTTTTATTGTCAATGGCGTAGAAAATGACCATCTGCTACACGAAGCCAATGCCCCTTGACAGGCCGTCAGAGAAGGTGAAACTGTTGAGACTAAAACTGAAACAGATAATCGCTGCGTACCTCTGCAAACATGCCCAGCATGTATGACGCCAACATCAGTTAGTTTTACATCTATAGTATGGAGTGTAATTAACTGCCTCGTCTAAATTTCGAGATTTGCCGTTGTCTGTTTCTGCTGGTGTTGTCTCGTGTAAGTACAACGTTTCGGAATGATTTCTCAGTTGTCACTGTCTCGCTGTATTTGCTGTGAAGATGGTCTCTACGACGTTGGGCGTTGAAATAAACACGTTACTTTTTTAATTTGTGTTATAGCCATTGTATCTGCATAAATTTTATTGAAAAGAGGCACAGAATCGAAATGAGTTTCTGAAATTAGCACCAATGAAATAATTGAAGCTGAGTTCTTCAGTGAAGATTTCGAGGGCCAGACTGAAAATCCTGACCATATGCAACATAAAACTTTGGCTGTTTTTGTTCCAGCATGATGCAATTAATTGAAGTCTTTTCAATTTCTCGCTGTTGCTAACGACGAAACCCTTCTGGCACAGGTGTGAAAGGCTGGAAATCAATGAAAGTCGAGTCAAACGGAAATGATCGAATTTTGTTAAGGAAGTTTAAGTAGTTCAGCTGTGC